TACGGTACACTCCATGAGGGCGACAGAGACAGACAGAGGAATCGCCCGGCCTGGCCAAGCTGGCCGTCGTGGGGCCTCGGCGAGGGCCTCGGGGACGAGCGGCCAACTTCGGACACCGGACGGGGCGGAGGTGCGGTGCCAACCTCGCGGGGGCGACTGTGGAGGTGGAAGGGGTGGGGTGACGAACCACTACCCCCTCAGCGGCACTGCCTTCACCTATGACCCCCCCCCCCTTGTGGCCGAGAAACTTGGCCAATGTGCATCGCCGGCGTGGCCATGCGGGCTGCGGCGCGGCGGCGGGCCAGTGGACTGATTCTGAGAGTCGTTGTCGTCGCCCTCTCTCTCGTTCGTAGGTCGTTCCGTGAAGGTGGGAGAGAGACAGAGCGACGAGAACGCCTCGGCGTACAGGCTGGTCCAGGCCAGCCTTGCAGTGTAGGCAACCGCAGCGCGCCGCGCTGCCATGCGGGCCTGCCTACCCCGCACGGCGCCCGACGCCTCTCGCAGTGTAGCTGAGATTGCGCAGGGCTGGCGGGCGAGCTGGCAGCCTCTTTGGTAGGAAAAAAAAAGGATCAACCCGCACCCCACTTTTAATTCTACTTAGTAGGCTGGAACGAGTTTCTGTTCTTCAAAACCGCAGCCACAGACACACAACAACGGGTGGAAAAAACGGGGGCGCCTTCTCTTCACACACGCGCGCGCTTTCATTTTGGCGCGATTGCTTGTGGGGCCGGCGGGAAGTTGAGCGGCTGGTTGCGCGCATTTCAAACAGTCGGGGGCCAATCCCGGCCCGGCCTGTCCGTCTTCGTCCGGCTCGTGTCTACACTGGGAGTTTTTTCAGCGGAACTGTCTGCTGGCGCCCCTGCGCCGCCGCGGCCAGGCTCGCACGCGTCCGCGGTAAATCAGTCGGCTGGTCGGCGCAGCGCTTGCGGTCTCTCTCTCGCACCCACATCGGACGCCGCTGGAGTCGGAGCGACGATGACAGTGTGGTGGCGGGCGTTGCGGCCGAACCATGTCATGGCGCAATCCGCAGAGCGAAATAAAATAAACGGAGGGACTGCGAGTGAGTGGGCCACGGCCGCGCCGCGCTGGCAAGTTGGAGCGGCTGGCTTGCCTGGCTTGCCTGGCTTTATCCCCATTTTCCCGGACTGGCTCTGCTGCATGCGTTGTTAGGTGGTGGCATTCGGGCCGGTGCCGCCGGTGCATTGTGGTCGAGTGGTGCCCCCCCCCTCTCTCTCTCTCTCTCTGGCTGGCGTTCAGCGTTTGGAAAAAATCCCCCCTCCCTCCAACCGCCTGGCTGGCGCCGACCCGAGTCCAATCCTTCCTGCCGAGTGCATGCGATGCGCTGCACCTCGCAAAAATCGCCCTCCTCCTCCTCCTGCGTGCTTCCGCCAGTGCCTCATGAGGACGGGGTGCTTGTGGCGGCGGGGCGCGGCGGGCTGATCCTTGGTGTCGTCGTCGTCGTCCCGCCTGTGTTGGCCAGGGCGGGAACCGATTCACGGAACGAGCGCCCCTTTCACCCCACCTCCCCCTTCTGACTGCTTCCGGTCGACTTCCGTCCATCAAGGCTTCCGCCGCCCCGCCCCGCCACGCCCCGCCACGCCCCGCCACGCCCCGCCACGCCGCGCCACGCCCCGACTTGGAGTCACGCTACGAATTACAATAGTGTCTTCCTCGACACGGCGGCGCGGCAAGTGTTTTGCCCGGAATGTAGCACCTTCGCATGGCGCCTGGGACGGACGGGCGGACGGACGGGGAGCATCCGCAGACAGACAGACAGACAGACAGACAGACAGACAGACAGACGCACGGGCGGACGGACAGGCGGACAGGGTGGATAGATAGATCGCGTGCCTCCGCTCGGCCCGAGTGATTGTTTGGCCCGCGATAATACAAATTCGGGGAGGGCGCTACATCTCGAACGGGGCGATGCGCCCCACTGCCGCGGGCACGCAGCCCTGGCTCTCTCTCTCTCTCTCTCTCTCTCTCTCTCTCTCTCTCTCTCTCTCTGTGTGTGTGTGTGTGTGTGTGTGTGTGTGTGTGTTTTCACTTATGACGTAGACGTAACACACTCTCTGTCGCAGTCCTCATCATGTCAGCCCACAGACAGAGACAGAGCTGCGAAAAAAAAAGAAAGCGTTCTGCTGTGTTTGTTTTCCGGTCATGTATTACCAGTGCGGTCTGTCTTCGCGTTTCGCCGCCTTCTCAGTTGTTGTTGTTGTTGTTGTTGGCTTTGGCGCACGCCAGACACCCATCAGGAAATTGAACGGCGCGCGGATGATACTCGGGCATCGCTTTGCCGTGAGGAGTCGCTCAGTCACTCAGCCGCCTGATTCCGAAGGATATCGTTTCGTCGCTCCGTCTCTCTCGCACCCTTGGGGAACGCCCCACGTGTGCGACGGAGACAGGGCGACGACATCGGGCGGCGTCGCGGCGCAGCCCCGGCGCGCCCCGGCCAGGTTGCATGCCTTGCACGGAGTCGGCGGCGTTGGCGTGGAGGCAGATGGCGTCGAAGAGGGCGCGGTGGCCTTCGAGTGGTGGCAATGGTATCGAAGGAAAGAGAGAGAGAGAGAGAGAGAGGAGGGAAAACGAAGAGCACCACTCCCCACGCCACCAAGGTGCACTGTTGGAATAGTTTCAGCGAACCGACTACTTCACCTTAGCTTGCTTTCGCACTGTTTGGCCTCAATGCACTGTGCCTGGTGAATTTTCCCAGACTGAAATTCACTTTTTTTTTTTGTGTGGAGCTCGTTAAAGCATCCCGAGCACAGCGAGTACCGCCACTGCCGCGACCCAGAAAGAAGAAGTCCGAAGGCTTCTGGAGTGTCTTGGCTGGTCTCGGCCTGTCTCTGCGACTTACAGTGACTGGGACGCGACGCGACGCACTCGTCTGCCGCACGTTTCCTCGCATTTTTTCTCTTCTCCCGCGCTTTTTCCCTGGGCGCTCTGGCGCCGCCTCGCGCCGCCTCGCGCGCCCTCCCCGTCCAGATTAGCGGCGCGGCGTGGCGTGGCGCGGCTCAGACGTCTCGCACGCGAATTAAGATGGCCTTTTTACCAAGTTTTGTGCGACTGCCTGCCTGTCTCCTTTCATCCCTCCTCACCATCCCCTCTCTCCCCATTTTTTCTCTCTCTCTCCGGGGGGATGATTTTTTTTTTCGGGGTGCGCGCGGCGCGGGGGGGCTTTGGGAACAGCGAGAAGTAGTAGTGGAGGTGGCGGTGGCCGGGCCTTGGGCAGGCCGCAGAGATTTATGTAAATCTCGCCATCTACGTTTGAATACTGACGACGCAAAGGGAATGGGCGGGGCGCGGGGCGGACGCACCTGGGTCGGGTCGACACGCTGGAGCGCATCAAGCAGCCCGCGCGCGCGCTCGGCCCGGAGAGGGGGGGGGGGCGTCATCGTCATCCTGGCGATAATCCGGACCGAAATCCCCGCGGCCGAAAAAAGGAAGGTGGTCGTCGTCGCCCCCGCGGCCTTGCGGGCCTTGCTCTGCGCGCAGCTCTGTCTCTCTCGCACTCGTGGCGCGTCGCGTAGAGAGAGACAGAGCGCCGCTCGGCACCGCGCTGCTGGGCTGCCCGGTCCGCCGCAAATGAGGAAATATTGGCTATCCGCGAAACGAAACGAACGGAAGTTTGGCTGGGTGGTTCGGCGGCCGCGTTGCCGCCAGTCTGGCCAGGGCTTGGCCGCCTCTTCCTCGTCGGGTACCCTTGAACGTCCGCCGCGGGAAGACGAGTCGCTCTAAGACGGAAAGGAGAGCGCCGACTTTTGAAACGCCGCGGTGAGGCACATTCAATCATTTCGCCGGCCGCGGCTGCTGGAGGGCTGCTTGAAGGCGCGCGGGCGGAGTCCGATTCGGAGCGTTGCCGTTCCGCGCCGCGCGCTCCTCGAAACTTGTCTGGCGAGGAGCAGCGGAAAAGAAGCAGCGAAGAGTGCGCACGTTTTGCTAATGATTAGCACGGGGCGCTCTCATCCTGCCTCTGCTGCTGCTCTCGCCCCGATACCGCCCAGAGTCCCCTGGCGGCAAGCCCCAGCAGCCAGCCAGCCAGGGCTTGCCCCCCCCCCCCCCCCCCCCCCCCGCCTGGCCCCGCCATGCAGCCAGCCAGCCAGCGGGTTTAATTGTTATCGCGCGAAAGCGGCAAGAGTACTCGACAAGGGAACCGGTGTAGCGACTCGGCGCCGTGCGCTGCTGCTGCTGCTGCTGCAAGGCTCACTCTAGTCTCGTTAAGCTTCTAACGTGCCAAATTTTTCCCCGCCTTTTAACGATCATGGCCGCTGCAGCCAATGGCGGAAGCCCTTCCCGCGACCTTGACACAGTCCGACCCGCGTCTCTGGCCTGCTTGGCCTGCTTGCCCCGCTTGTTGACCCAGACCGCCCTGCCGCTGCCCGCGGCTGCCCGCTGGTTGGAGTGCAGGACTTGCATTAGTGATGCCCGTCCGACCAATGAGTGCGCTCTGGCCGGCCGTGGTCTTGCCTCGTGCTGTCTTGCTTTGCCTCGAATCGAGCTTATTTGGCGCCGCAATTTGCTCAAGACACAGGCGAGGCCCCGCCGCCCCCGCCGCGCTTAGCAAACTGCTTTTTCCTCTTACTTCTTTTTTTTGCCCAGTGGCGGGCCGGCCCCCCTACCGCCACCCGGGGGCCCCTTGGCCCCCGTGGCCCCCGTGGCCCCCCGCGGAGCCGAGCCCATGAAATACTGATGTGCTACTAGCAGGCCCTATTCAAAGACAGAGCGGAAGGGGAGCGCGAACCTAGGCGCCCCGCCCCGCCCCGCCCCGCCCGGCCCCGACTCATTCGACGAAAGAGAACGACGAGGGTTTGGCGCGAACGTGTTTATTTAATCTGCTCTGCTGCACAATGAATGCTGCCTCTCCCCCCTCTCCGTCGTCGTCTTGCCAGCCGGCGGGGCCGTCGGCGGCCGTCGGCGTGGCGGCCGATCCGGGGCGCGTCGTCGCCGTCGTCGCCGTCCTCGCGGTGGCGGCGGTGCTGCGGGAAGCCCTGCAACCGGTGAAGAAGGATGCCGCCAGTGTTACGTTCTTGCGGCGCCGCTAATGGGACGCCCAGACGACCGCCTCCGAGGTGGCTCTGTCTCTCTCGCACTCGTGGCGCCGCCCGGAAGGAGAGACAGAGCGACGACGCGCTGCCGCTCGGAGTCAGCCAGCAGACGCCGTAAGTTTCTTTGGCCGCATCGCGACGCCGCGAGACGCTGAATAAGAAATCGGCCGCCGGGATTTCCGTCCTCGTCCTCCTCGTCGTCGTCCTCGTCAGCGTGCACCTGTCCGTCATCGCTGTTCGACGAGGCGCGCTTGCGTGGATTCCCCGCATGCATAATGTTCCGACGGCGAAACCACGCTTTCTAGCAGTGCACTGTGCGAACCCGCCGAAGCGCTTTGTCAATCTGCGCCGCAAATAGACGAACAAAAGTAGGTTCTCCCTCTGACAACGCGCGGGTGACATTTGCCCGCAAGCCTGGCCGAGTGCGGCACTTGTCTATTCACGGTAAAAACGGTTCCTGGTTTTCCCAGGAACCCCCTGGAAATCGCCTATATCTTCGCCATAGGGCTCCTGGGAAAACCAGGTACCGTGTTTACCGTGTTGCTAGTGGCGGACCCTGCTCCGCACAGAGTCTCTGGCAGTTCCTGAAATAAGCCGATAACTCTGGAACGAGTGGCCGTGCCGCTGTGTCGCTGGCTCAGCCTGCGCGCCTTTACCTGCCTAGTCCTCCATGCGAGAGCTGCCGCCGGCCGGCTGGAAGATGTTGCTGCAGTTGTTGAAGCCGTTGCCCTGGCCCACGGCCGTGGCGCAGTCCACGCCCTGGTTGATGCTGGGCGGCTGGGAGGGCATGGAGGGCACGCCGCCGGGCATGGAGGGCACGCCGCTGGGCATGGAGGGCACACCGCTAGGCATGGAAGGCACGCCGCTGGGCGCGGCCGGCATGGTGCAGTTGTTGAAGCCGTTGCCGGAGCCCACGCCGTTGGCGCAGCTCAGGAAGTTGGAGGGCGCCGAGGCGCTGGCGTCGCGGCCGTCGTCGGAAGGCACGGGCTGGGGGCACAGTGGGGGCACAGTCACAGTGGGGGCACAGTCACAGTGGGGGCACAGTCACAGTGGAGGCCAGTCACAGTGGAGTGGCCTTCTGAAGCGAGCAAACTTCACATTCATTCGCCGCTTCTCAAGTTTCAGCCAATTTCGTGAACAGTTACAGATGAAAAAGTTCTGCGCAGAGTAACTAAAATTAGTAAATTATTTTGAAAAAATTATCTGTAGCGAGCCGTGGTTTACGAAATAATGGCATCCAAAAAAGTCAATAAATGCTGAGTTTGCACGGCAAGAGTGGAATTGGAGTCTCACCGACGCGAGCACGGCGCACAGCAGGGCGGCGGCCGACACGGCGAGGGCGGTCATCGGGGACACTGCGAGGAGGAAGCAAGCGGTTCAGAAGGGTCCTTTCCTCGCCCCGCTCCGTCGCACCTGTGCGGGATGCCCCGTGAGTGCGAGGGAGGCGGAAGCCACTCTCCGGAATCAGTCTACAGAGAGGAATGGCGCGTTTTTCTCATTTACACCGCGTTACGCGTCGGCCGGCTTGTCGGCGGCAGGCGGGCCGCCGCCCCAGGCCTCACCCCCCCCCCCCCCGCCGCCCGGAAATTACGGCCAAGTCCGGGCCTCGCTGCCGCGCTTCCAGTGGCGGAGTGAAAGAAACTCGGTGGACTTCCTTCCGGGCCGACTCACCCATGGTGGCGCTGTGTCTCGGGCCTCTGGACGAGTGTGGCCTCGGCAGCCCTCCGACGCCTATTTGAAGCGCCGGCACTGGCAAGTGGAAGGGGGCACTAGGCGGCATGGCCCGGCCGGACATGCACCTGCACTGGACAAGAGTCGCTCGCAGTGCACTGACGCGTTATCGGCAAAATGCAACGCGGCAGTGTGGGGCCACGTCCGGCCCGAGTCGATGCCATTGTGCTCTATCTTGTTCTTGTCGTCGCCTGTCGTCGGGGCGGGGACGCAGCCAGTGGCGCCACTCGCTGCGTATTCGCACTCTCTGCGAGTGAAAGGAGTGAAGAAGGGAACGGCCTCGACGACGCGCTCGAGAGACCTGGAAGTCACTCGGGCAAAGAGTGTCGGAGTTCTCCCCCCCTCTCTCTCCCTCTCCCCCCCCCTCTCTCTCTCTCGCCTTGACGCTCGCCACACCGGCGGAACTTGGGTCTCATCAGAATCCCGCCTCCTCCCCCAATCTGAAGCAGGATTTGGTGGCACGTACGTACACCAGCAACTTGCCTTGCCGTGCCTCATACTGCCGGCCGGGCTGGCTTGCTCTGTGTGTGTGTGTGTGTGTGTGTGCTGCTCTGGGTGGTTCCCGGAAATGGAAGTGGATCCTCGGTGCGTATCCTTTTCCCCGGACCGCCCCCGCGGGTGCTGACGGCCGGGGCCGACGTAAATCCCCCCCCCCCTCCTCCAAGAAAATCTCACTGCCGCCGCCGTACTCGGCGCGCGGTGCAGTGCTTATCCGCGATACCCTTGGCGCGGTGCGGCGTCGCGATCCCCCAGGCCGTCACGTCGGTCGCTAATCACGTAAGTGCGGCGGCCGCGCTGGCGTCGTGCTGGCGTCGTCCTGGCGTCGTCCTGGCCGTGTCCGACAGCGCGGCGGCGGCTTATCTCGCGAAAAACTGGTCGCGGCCGTCGGCGCGCAGAACGGCGGTAAAAGGCTAAAAGGCCGCCGTCGGCGCGGAGGAGTCGCGGTGACACGGCGTCGCGGTTAAACGGTGATTTGTCGTGCCCGTTTCCTTCCGCATGGCGCCGCGCGGCGTGTGACTGCGTGTGACTCGCCAGACAAGTCCGTCGGGGAGATGCACGCCGCCGTCCTGGTGGCGCTGCTGGCCGCCCTGGCCGCCGCGCCCTTCAGTAGCGTGAGTCTTCCGTCCCGCTCGCACTCAGCGGCCGTCCAGTGAGGAGTGATGAGGACAGAGCTAACGTCCCCGCACCGCCTTCGACGGAATCGAGCACCACCTCCGCGGCATGCCGCATGGCCACATGTTAATGAGGGTAAAAACAAAACAAAGTCATGACTTGAGTGATGACGTCCCCTCCCTTTCCTTGTCGCTAGGAGTGCGAGCAGCACGCCAGGCCGCCTCTCGTCCCCCAGCGGCCCCCGCCGACGACGCCCAGGCCGCCTCCGCCGCCCCCGCAGCAGCAGCCGCCCCCGAACACGGCCATCGCTCAGTCGTCGAGCTGCGCCGTGGCGGTGGCGGGGGGCCGCGCTGCCGACGGCGCGGCCAGCACGGCCGCCAACAACTGCGGCAACCTGGCCAACGTGGACTGGACCACCATCTTCGGCGGCAGGCCGTAGCCACGCCGCTGCTGGCTGTTGCGATGGTTGTCGACGTCCCTTGTGTACCGATTCGGCATGGAAAATAATCAGAATTGTGCCGTTTTCGCCAAAGCAGCGTGCTTCCTTGCGCTCACCACGAAGCTCAACACCCGGCCTTACTTCCGTGCTACGCGAGGTCTTCCTCTGTGTCTGCGGATCGACACGCACATCCCCTTCCAGGAGGAGCCTCGGCCAGTCTCGGCCGTGGTGGCCTTGGTCGGTGCTGCCAGCCCCGCCAGCCCCGCCAGCCCCGCCAGCCCTGCCAGGCCGGCCCTCAAAGTGGGCCGGGCGTGAGTGGACGGCCCGGGCAGTTTGTTTACCAAGGGACCAAGGGGTTGCTGGCGGTGGCGGCGGTGGCGGCTGTGACGCGGGGATAAGCAAAGGCTGCCCACAGGACGCCCTCTTCTCGTTAGGGCTGCCTGCCTGCCTGCCTGCCTGTCTCTCCGGGGTGAAAAGGCCGCGATGCAACAGCGGGCCGGTCTGGCTGGCTGGTCCGGGCTGGCCGGGGGGTGGAGGCAGTGGAGTGGCGGAGGCCCACGGCGAAGGTGCGCTGCGATTTGGGGGAGGAAGGCGAACTTGTGTCGAGATTAGGGCGGACTACATGCAAGCCTCCCTCTTGGCGGGGCGGGGTGGGGCGGCAATTGGGGGGGACGTAACAACGCATTGAATTTCAGGCGGAGGAGGGAGCGCGCTGGAGACATGCAAGGCCTGAGGATCCTCTCGAGCGGGCCTCCCCCCCCCCTGCCTGCCTGCCTGCCGTGCTGCCCTGCCCCCTCACGGTGCGGTGCGGTTTCCCCAGGGATGTGGCTCATAGCAGTGGCACACTGAAACGCTCCGTCGAGCCGCGCACGGCCGGGAAGGGTTAGGCTGGGCCGGGCGCGGCGCCGCGGCGGTACAGTCTGGTACAGTCGCGCACACTGGAAGTCTGCGCCGTGTGCCGGGCCGAGATTCCCCGACCGTGACCTGGCCGTCGTCGCCGCCAGGGCCGCCAGTTTGCAGCAGTGCCAAGTGATCCGTGTCGAAAGGCGCGCACCGCGAGATGTTATTAACCTTTCCGGGCTGATTAGGCAACGGCACCCCTGATGAGAGGGGAGAGGGCGGCCGGGGGGCGGACAGGGGGCAGGGGGTGGGATTGTCAAATTTGCCTCTAATCCGTTCGTGAAACGGCTAATACGGGCTGAGGGAGGGGGCGGCGCCATCCCGGCCGCCCTAAGTAGTCTCTAGCCGCGGCGTCTCCGAGGGGCGGACGAAGGACGCGAAGGCCGTCGCGCTTGTCGCAATCCGCCGCGAAGAGACGCCCTGGGCGCGCCCAGCCGGCCCAGCCCGATGGCAGGGTGGGGGAAATGAAGACCTGCGTGCCTACACTTGTTCCGAATTTCTTAACTTGGCAGCTTTTCTCTTCGTGGCTCTTCAGCCCTTTGTGCCCCGACACTGCCATGGCGCTCCCTGTCCTTCCGCGCTGCCCTTCCTGGCCCCTCCTCGCCCCCCTCGTCCTCCTCGCCCCACGTGCCCGCTTTCCCACACTGCTTGCTCTCGGGGCTGCACCCCGCTCCACGCTTGCCTTCGTCGGCGCCCTCGGCTCGGCGGGGCCCTTGGAGGAGCCCTCGGAGCCCTCGGAGCCCTCTCCGGGGCCAGCACCTGCGACCCGGCCAGACCCGGCCCCCCTGCGTGTGCGACTGCGCGGGTGGCGGGGGCTCTCGTCGCCTCGCGTGGAGGGAAAGGGGGATCGCGTATGAAAAATTTAGCGGCGCTGTCTATTTCGCATCGCAGCCGCGGTGGGGCGCGCTGATTGGTCCGCCTCGCCCCGCGCTCGGCGCCCCTGCGAGTGCGAGAGAGACGGAGCGACGAAAACGACTCTCGGAATCAGTCTGCAGCTCGCTGAAATAGTAACGAAGAGGTGTCGCGCTGAAAGCTCCCTCGCCGCCCGCCGCCTCGGTTTCTCGAGGTCGCCGATGACGCTGACCCCACCCACGCCCCCTTCGTCTCGCACGGGCCGAACCGAAGCGCCGAACGGAGAAAGACTGCGCGCGGATTCGAACCCGCGTCATCCCCGCGAGGCCGCGAGGCGAGAATTATCGGGGAAATGTGTTCCTGCGGTGAGGGGTAGCCTTTGTTCGCGGGGCTTAGCGGGGCTCGCTTTGGGACGCACCGCGCTGCCGGCGTGCTAGTGATTGGAGTCGCACTACACGGCCGGGGCCGGGGCGGGGCGGGGCGCCAGCCGAGCCAGACCAGTCTCACCGTGCCGAGCCGTGCCGAGCCGTGCCGAGCCGGGTCGTTTCTCTGCGGCTGTGGATTTGGAGCACTACTCGATGAGCCGATTGGAGTGCGAGAGGCCGCCCACTGATAGCAGCAGCAGCAGGGTCGTTTGAAATGTCTTATCCCTTCCAGCTCAGCATGAACAAAATTTGTGTCTGGACTGTTGTTGTGTGGCTCTAAACGTCGAGAAATGTCTGAAAATCGTGGATTTTAGACGACTTTGAGCGGCCACTGCGTCCAATCCAAGCCGGGAAATCGAACTCTCTCTACCAGGGGGCAGTATTCTAAGAGGCTTTCTCCAGCACGCCCTTGCCACGGGGCGTGTTGTTGTTGTTGTTGCTCTCGCGGAAATTGAGATCGATGAGGGCCGCTATTTGCTGCAAACAGCCATTGACTTAGTTAGGCGCGGCGCGCGGCGCGCGGCGAGGGGGTGACAAAAGTCCTTCCCTATCACCAACTAATTTTCGAGTGGTGGGGGCGCCGCCTGTGATCACTGCTCGCAGCGCGCCCTGCCCCGGCCCACCCGCAGACCTTGCCTCGACAATGGCCCTGCAGCCCGCCCCGCCCCGCCCCGCCCCGGGTGCGGTGAGGAGACCGAGCGGAGCACGGTGGCGGTGAGGAGGTCCTCGAAGGCGTGTTCCAGTGCACCGTTCCTCAGGCAGCAATTGACGGCGAATCGGTTCGACACGAAGATGCACGTGAAGTGGGACGGTCGTCGTCGCTTTGGGGGAAAAGGGAGCCGTGTGATTCGGTCGAGGGGCCGCTGCCTGCAGCTTCACGCTCGCCTCACCTCGGTGCCTGTTGGTGGTTGTTGGCTGCGAATCGGGGAATGGTTGCGAAATTTCCTGTTGTTGAAAGTAGACCGAGTTTTGGGAGCTTCCGGAATCCGGGATGTGTGCCTGGGACGAGGGGCTCACTCGCGCCCCCGCCCCCGCCCCAGCGGGTAGGGCCCTGCAGGGGGGGGGCTGCGTGGGGACACGCGGGGCAAACAGGGGGCCCTGGTGGGCCTGGTGGGCGGATTAGCGCGAAGGTCACGCTGTGGGCCGACAGGCAGGGCGACAGCGCCTCGTGACCGGCTCCAGGGGCACGGAAAAAGAAGAAGCACTTTGGCTGCAGGGTGATTCCGA